GGGCTCTGTGCTGACAGCTCAGAGCCTAGAGCCTGTTTCAGATTCTGTGTCTCCCTCTCTGTCTCTGACCCTCCCCTGTTCTTGCTGTGTCTCTCTGCCTCAAAAATAAATAAACGTTAAAAAAAAATAAAAAAATAAAAACAAAAAACTACAAACCATTGCTTAGAGAAATTAAAGAAGGCCTGAATGAAAGGAGAGACATATCCTATTCATGCATTGGAAGACTCAATAACGTTGAGATATCTCCCCAAATTGGTCTGTACATTCAGTGCAGTTCCAGCCTTTGACACACATCATAAAGGAATCCCAAAGCTTTTGCAGGCAAATGGCTTGGTCAAAGTTTACGCACTGGTTGCACAGCCTTGCTGAGCTAGTGAGTCTGATAGTCATCTCTAGAATGATATTCTGGAGTAGCAGGGGCTGCCAGGGGGTAGAGAGTAGGCCAGGAACTTCAGCTGAACTAGGAATGTCCCTGAGGCAGGAGCTGTCAGGGGTGGGCCAGATGGGAGGCAAAGATTCACCCAGAAGTTTGATAGCCACTGTGTGCAGGTGGTGGAATTATGGATGACTCTTATTTTCTTCTTTGTGTTTCTTTGTTGTTTCATTCCCCACCCCACCCCCCCCCCCCGCCCCGAGCATACTTAGTTCCAATATAATCAGAGGAACCACAGTCCTATAGTTGATTCCTATGGGGTATTGTTTTTTTGTACACCTGTATAATTTGAATATTTTACAAGGAGGTTGCGTTTATTTTGTAATCAAAAACAAAAGGCAAACAGGCAGAAAGAACATAACCTGTGGTTAAAGCAGTAGGTCTTAAGACACTGTGAGGAACTCCTGATAGAGCCATGTATCAGTAACCAGGACATGGAAACCACAGTAAATACAGGACAGCCAAGCAAATGCGTGTTTCACTTGTCATGTTCTTTCCAAATCTGACTTCTGTTGGACACATAGAATGTCTGTCTCTAGTTAATGCACCAAGCCATCTTAGAACATTTGACAGAAGACTTAACTCCTTAATTCCAGGGAGGCAGATTGGGATCTCTAATTACTTAATTGAAAAAAGGTACACACTTCAGGCTGCCACAGTGTTTGGGAATTAATCTTTAAAACCTGACGGTGAACATTAAATTCAATTAGGGAGGGCGATTAGCAACGTTTCTTCTCTCCTTCACCCTGGGTAGCTTGGAGAAGTGGCTGACTGGTCTGCATTGATTCTGACGCTATCCTTTTGTATATATCAGCCAGGAGAGCCAAGTATGCATTTTTCACTTCAGAGGAGTGTTATTGGGCAATTTACAGATTGATGGATTTCCCTAACATGTCTCCATGGCTGATTCAGAGGCCCCCCTCCCGAGAATTTAGACCTACCAGTGTGCTGCTTTGCGCCTTGGTGCCTTCCCCTCCTCTTCCTCCTCCTCCCCTCTCTTTCTTCTCTTTCCTTGTCTCCACCCCCCATTCATTTTGTTGCTTCTACTTTCCAAGTGAGGCCACTTTCCCAGTGCCTCCAGCTGGTCCAACTATTCTCCTCTGTCCCCTGGATTCTTGCAGAAGCTCCACACTGTCTCCCTTGCCTTGCACTCTCCTCCTGGTAGAGAAGCCAGAGGGGTCCTGTTTCTGCCTGGAAGGTTCTTCCTCAATTTCTGTATAGCTCCCATCATCCCTCCTTCAGATCTTCCTTCAGAGCCACCTTCTCTGAGAGGCCCTTCCTGGCCACCATCTCAACTTCTGCTGCCCTTAGGGCCCCTTTCTTGCTCACTTACTATGCCTCCAGCCTTTACCCCTACCTTACATGCTATAGAGATGCTGCTGGTTTATCTTGTTTAGTGTCTGTCTCTTTGAAGGCAGGGGTTTTTGTCTTAGTTGTTTGCTGCTGAATAATGCCTGGCTAATAACAGCTGCTCAAGAAATGTTTGTTGAATGAATGAAGAAATGAATGAGTTTAACAGATGGAAACATTTGAACATATTTGCTTCAGAGCATTCTCTCTCTCTCTCTCTCTCTCTCTCTCTCAGAAAGACAGTGTAGTGTTCACAGTGCCCTTCACCCAACCCCGTCCCTCACCCACCATTTCCCCAGAGTGACCATCATCTTCATATATGTTGTTATGGTCTTACTACAAATGCACAAATAAGCTTGATAGAATTTTGCTTCATGTATGTTTTTAAAATTGTGTTGCAATACATATCACATAAAATTTACCGTTTTAACCATTTTTAAGTGTACAGTTCATTGGCATTGAGCACATTTACCTTATTGTACAACCATCGCACCATCCATCCCCAGAACTCTTTCTGTCTTGCAAAACTGAAACTCTGTCCCCATTAAACACTAACTCCCCATCTCCCCTCCCCCAGCTCCTGGCATCCCCCATTCTACTTTCTGTGTCTATGATTTTGACTCTTCTAGGAACCTTATGTAAGTGGAATTATATACCCTTTTTGCCGTTTTGTGTGTGGCTTATTTCACTCGGCATAATGTCCTCAAGGTTCATCCGTGTTGGAGCAGGTGTCAGCATCTCCCTCCTTTTTAAGACTGAATAGTAGTCCATTGTATGGAGAGACCATGCTTTGCTTATCCATTCTTCTCTCAGTGGACACTCGGATTGCTTCTACCTTTTGCCCCTGTGAGTAATGCTGCTGTGAACGTTGGTGCGCAGGGACCTCTTTGAGACCCTGCTGTCCATTTTGCGGTTATATACACACAAGCGGGGGATCATATGGCAGCTCTATGCATAATTTTTTAAGAAACTGTCGTACTGTTTTCCGTATAATCTGTGCCATTTTGCGTTCCCACCGACAGTGCACAGAGGTTCCAGTTTCCCCACATTCTCCCAACACTTGTTCTTTTTTCTTGTTTTTGATAGAAGCCATAGGTGTGAAGTGATGTTTTATGTGTTTTGGTAATTTAGGTGGCATCTTGCTGTGTATATGAAGCTTGTCTCATGTAATCAATATTGTTTTTTACTGCTTAGCCATTGTTAACTCTGTAGGTGTAGCTCATTAGTTCTACTTTATTTTCTCTATTAACGAGTCATACTTGTCCCTAGTTTTGCAAAAAACGACATGCTCTGTTCTTCTACCATAAATTTCCACTCCGTGTTGACGTCTTCTGGTTGTTTCTTCTGTTATTTCTGTCCGTATTTCTTTTTTTTAGAATTTTTCTTCTCTTGTTTTTTTTTAAATGCTTATTTACTTATTTTGAGAGAGAGAGAGAGAGAGAGAGAGAGAGAGAGAGAGAGAGCATGAGCAGAGGAAGGGCACAGAGAGGGAGAGAGAGAATCCCAAGCTGGCCCCGTACTGTCAGCGCAGAGCCCGACTCAGGGCTCGAACTCACGAACCATGAGATCATGACCTGAGCTGAAATGAAGAGTCAGACACTCAACCGACTGAGCCATCCAGGCGCCCCTCTGTCCATACTCTTTTTTTTTTTTTTTTTTTTTTTTTTTTTTTTTTTTTTTTTTTTTTTTTTTTTTACAGTGGGCTCCGTGCCCAACATGGAGCTTGAATCCACGGCCTGAGATCAAGAGTTGTGTGCTCTGCTGGCCTTGCCAGCCAGGCGGCCCTCTGTCCGTATTTCTAAATGTAGATGCTGCTATTTCATGACTGTTTCAGTTTGAGACCCCAGCTATTGACCCCCAAGAAGAAACAAAGGATCTGAGCTCTCTTAGCATTCTTTGACAACTGCTCTTGTTTCTTTAAGCTCAGACATTCCCATATGCCCAGGAAACATGCTTTCAGAACTCTGATCCTGTGCCTTGTGAGCACCTTGGGGAAGCAGCGGGATGAATTTTCTCGTCTTGAAAGGGAAGGCCATCTCCACATCTGGTTTGTGGATGTGCGTGGGTGGAGACGAAGAACACGAGGCTTGGGTTCCCCACCGTAACCGAGAGAAGGTCAGAGAACACCGTTGTCAGGAGCTGGGTGCACGGCAAGCCCCAAGGAGCCCGCGCACCAGCTCCACTCATTCCTCACCACAGGCCTTGGGGTGGGGCTCTGACCCCCGCTTCACAGAGGAGGAGACTGAGGCCCAGGGAGGCCAGGCTGCTTGGCCAGGTCACACGATCTGCCAACGGAAGCATCACGTGGGAGGCGCTTGCCTCCGAGGCCCACACTCTGGTGGCAGGTGCTCTGCCTGTCTCTCGTGTTTGATCCTCTAAAAGCCACCTCAGACGATGGACAGCAGCCTCCCCTGCTTCCTGTATTGACAGTGAGGGTAGGGGACTGGCCAGGCCCAGAGCCAGCCCTATCAGGCTCCGTGCTAACCAGCCTTTCCCCGGGGCTCCTGAACGAGCTGGTGCACTGGTGAAGGGCTCTCTCCTGTGTGGAGTGGCCCTGGCCCTTGGAATGTGCAGTTCTACACTTGAGGGCTCAAGAGCATATTTCAGAAGTCATTGAATGTACATGGGGCTTTCTGCCATCGGCTTTGTCGCCAGAGAAAGCCAGGGTGGGAATGAAGGATGGCACCTCTTCCCCAGGAAAAAGGACAGCTGGCAGATCCTGGCTCTTTGCCCGGTTGTAAGCACAGGTGTGGCAGGTTCCGTTTCGAATCTGACTCTCAAAGCTAGACCCAAGAGGATAGCCTGACTCGGTGCGGTGTCCACCTCAGGGCTCACGAAGCCCTGTCTTGGAGGACAGCCATCAGAGACGCAGGCGACACTGGGCTAGAAGTGTGAGCAGAGCGGGACATTTGGCGGTGAGCAGCTGCAAAGCGGGTGGGGAGGGCGGGCGGGGGAGAGGCGGGACTCGGGCACGCTGTGTTCTTGTGGGTCCCCTTGACCCCGGGAGGGGTTTTGGGAAAAGCTCCCCCTCAACTCACCAGCCCCGAAAACTTGACATTTCTGCACGGAAGAATTTAACAGCTAGATGTGGTTTTGATGGTAAAATAACAGGAATCTAGTTCCGCTAGGAGACCCTCTCCACCCCATAGAGGGGCCAAGCCAAGCCCCAGAGGTCAGGCCTCCGCTTCTGACGTCTGGCTCTGTGTTTGCCTCGTAGGTGTGGAATGCTGTGGACTCAGGCCGCTGCCTGCAGACCTATTGCCTGCACAGTGAGGCGGTGCGGGCCGCCCGGTGGTCCCCCTGTGGCCGGCGCATCCTCAGCGGGGGCTTCGACTTCGCCCTACACCTCACGGACCTTGAAACAGGTGTGTTTTACTGCATTGTTACCCCGAGGCGCCCCTTCCTCGGAGCTGGCGGCTGGGTCGGCTTTCTCATCGGGAAGCTTCTCTGGGCGGTCAGCAGCCACAAGCTGCATATGGCTTCGGGGCAGTAGGAGGTAGCCCTCAGGAGAGGCTCACCTTGGTGAGTGCGTTTCCAGGGCATTTGCCTGGAACCACGACTCTCCACGGAGGGTTCAAGGTGGGCCTCTGCCAGTCTGCCCGGAGGACAGAGCCCCAAGGTTGTCTCAGCCCAAGCTGTGGGGCTGGATAAAGAGGTAGCTTTTTAATCAACTTCTGACATGTAATTTGTACCAAAATAGATTTAGCTTTATCACAATGTCCTTTGGTTGGAATCAGTTTAGAATTCCTGTCAATTCATTATCGTTGAAAGGCTGCAAGGAATGATTCCAGCTCATAAGGAAAGTCTGCAAACGAGTTCTGCTTTAATGCCTACACTGAAAAGGCATTTGGGTAAGATGGATTTGTGCTGGGTAAATCCTAAGGGGGCTCTTTTTTTTTTTTTTTTTTTTTCAACGTTTTTATTTAATTTTGGGACAGAGAGAGGCAGAGCATGTGAATATAGGAGGAGCAGAGAAGAGTGAGATGGTACCCAGGCTCCAGGCTCCGAGCCATCAGCCAAGCCCTGACGGGCGGGCTGAAACTCCACCAGGACCTTGAGATGGTGACCTGGCTTCCAGTGGACAACAACCATTTCATACCACCATTCATTCCTAAGGGGGCTCTTGACAAGCAGGGCGAGAAGGAGAGAGCAGTCAGTGGAAGGAACTTTACATTAGCGAGTACTCCTGTGCAACAGGCACTCTTAGCACCTAATCCCGCCACAGCCCCTGCGTGGGGTCCTGTCCGTGGTCCTCAGGCGAGGACAGAGCCACGGGGTCAGAGCTGGTTCGAAGCCTCTGCCCCTGACTCAGGTTGGCTGGTCTCAGCACCCACGTGGCCTCCTCTTCCTTGGGCTCCTTCTGGTCACTTTTCTGCTGGACTCTCCTGCCGGGGCCAGGAGGGGAGGCCGGAGTCCCCGCCCATCCCCGGGGTGTCCCAAGTCTTCACATAGGCCTCCCATACCCCGTGGCAAAGGCCCTGGGGTCCGTGCCTCTCTCAGGGCCTGGCAAGCAGGAGACGACAGCTCTGGGCCCGACCACACAGCCCCTCCCCAGCAGCTGGGAGGGGGCACGGCGAAGGAATACGGCGGATGGTGTAGGGTAGTGGTGGGGTTTGTGTCCCACCTGGAGCATACTTGTCACTGGATTGCTGAGGCTTGGCCTCGAGGCTCCTCTGCCTGAGCCCCGTGCGTCCTCAGCGGGGGTGAGGACAAGATTGGTGGCCGTGTCAGCGGCCGGTACTGTGCCACAGGCCCTCACCATGGCGTGCTGCCTGCAATCTCTTCATTTTACAGGCAGAAAGCTGAGGCTCAGAGCAGGGAGTAGCTAGCTCACGACCTCCCTGTGGTACGTGGCAAGTGGGGATTTAGAGCCATGTCTGCATTTGCAAATCCTATGTCTTTCCACGGTGCTGAGTGTATGTGGGGTTTTTCTTCTCAACAAAGTGTTTCCCTAACCATTTGTGGTCTTACAGTGAGTCCCACAGGGCCGATGAGGGTGCCATGGCTCAGGGAGTTTGGTGCCACTTGGTGATGACCGCGGTGGGTAATGTCCTGACCACCCACTGTGTGCTAGGCCTTCTCCTGCAGCCTTACATCTGGGGTCTCACCCTTTAAGGCCGCACCACCAGAATCTTCTTTGTGTGCAAAAATCTGCCAGGCTCACTCCGTTGCCCATGTGCCCAGTAATCCATGCTCAGCATTGGAGATGCAGACCCAGGATCCACCCCAGAAGCTCTTGTCTGCCGGGGGAGACGGAAGTGTGGACAGAATCCCAGGTTGTGGTGATGGAGTGAGATGCAAGAGCCTGTAGCCTGGAACCTGGCAGGAGGCAGCACCCAGGACCCAGGGGACAGAAGATCCGGGTGGAGGGGGTGTGGTGGAGGAGGAGGGAAGCACATTCCCAGCAGACAGAACAATGAGGACAGAGTTGTTAGAGGAACAGGAGTGGAGTGTGTGGCGTTGTGGGGTGCAGGCAGTTGGGGGGGAGTCTGGGGGTGCAGACCTGTGGTTCCTGGCCTGTGAGGTCTTTTTCCTTTTCTTGGCCCCGCTGCCCCCCCCCCCCCACTCCAGGGTCATTGGGTGCCCATGGGTACCTGCACTGCCCAGCCTCGGAGTGAAGGAGTGATGCTTTTCACATCCTGGCGGTGCTGTTGGGTTAATCAAATACGAGTTCATTTGATAACATTAATGGATGCTTAGTGGCCCTTTGTCATGATGTATCTTCTCAATCAACAGATGTTAAACAGACACTGCCGTGGCATGTGTGGGTGTGTGTGAATGTGGGGGAAGGCTTCTGAAATTTTTGGATTTTTTTGAAGAGAGTCTTCCTGACAAGTTAGGGACTGCCACAGCAGGTGGCAGTAGGGGGCCGTTGCTGAGTTTGGAGCAGGAGAGAATCATGGCTTGATTTGCACTCTGGGCAGGTCTGCCTGGTATCTTCAGCTGGTTGGGTATGACCAGGGTGAGGTGGAGAGCTGGAGGAGGGGCGGGGGCATGCCCTGCCCAGTCTGTGGCAGAACTTCACTGGAGAGGAGCTCGTGTGGCCCCAGGCCCAGGGTGCTCCTCCAACGCTGGTGTACTGGGTGGTGGAGGGAAGGCTCAGCCCCTGTCCTCAGGGCTTCGCCTAAGACGGGGGGACTTTTCCACGCTACCCCACTCCCGGGACTAGCACTCATCACCTGTTGAGAGCCGGGTTCCATTCACTCAGCAGGTATTTCCTGAGCACCTGCTATGTGTAGGACCTGGTGCTGGGGCTGTAGCAGTGAGCACGTTGGATATCCTTTGTCCCTCGTGGGGAGGTCTCAGGGTGTGGACCTCACCCTTGGAGCAGCCCTCCGGCCCCGACATGGACTTCTCCTGCTGAGGGGGCTGTTGGTCTCTGTGTTTGTCGCCCTGACTAGTGTGGGAGCTCTTGAGAATGGGGCCTGCCCTGGGAGTCTTCGTGTCTTCGTCATCTGGCCAGGGCTGGCTCGGAGCAGCGACTTGGAGTGTGTGAGCAGAGGCTGGCCCTTGCTGGGCAGCGAAACCCATCGGTGGCTCCCCCCGTGCCTCCCACCTCGGCTGGTGCGTCCCCACCCTTGGCCCAGGTTGTCGTAGATGCTGTCTTTAGCAGAGGCCGGTGGGCTTGGGCGGCCCCTGTGGCTCTCGGCCCGGTTTGACTTCTCTCGTCGTCCTTTCTCGTCACCGAGTTTGATTTCCCTTTTCACTCGATCTGCCTCTTTCCGCCCTTGGTGATTTGGCTTTTTCATTTCAATCTAATTAGAACTCTCTGCCAGGAGAAGGCAATGCAGGGCGTTCTCACCGCAGTGCTTTGGGAATTAGTCACTCGGTGCCCATTGTCGTTAATGGGAATTTGGCGCCAAGGCCATTTATCCTGGTGTCCTCAATCAATACAGTTAAAAATCTGTGGATTCTGAAATGTCAATACCCGGCCTGAAATATGGAGAGCCAGCCACATTTTATCTCGTTAATTTATAGTTCTGATGGGCTGTTGGCTTATAGGACAACCATGAATCAACACCTAAATAAAATCCACTCACAGATTCATTATTTTTGGTGCTCCCGCTTCAGTCTGTAATCTTCCTAACAAAACGTCTCTGATGCATTAGTCTGAGTGGCCTCAGGGAACCCTGGCCAGCTCCGCCAGGGCCCCAGTGTCGCCTGCCTTATGAGTCAGCTGTCCTGCACACCAAATCAGCCCATCTCCTCGAAATCCCCTGAAGAGCTTGTTCACTTCTACGGGCACTGGTCTTGTGAAGGTTCCAGCCCATCACGCCCCCCTCCCCCACCACTGGCAGGTGCCCCCCAGCCTGGCTATTGAGACCTCATAGGTTTGCAGGACCCCTGGTGCCCCCAGGGCTCCAACTTTGGGGAAGGCACCCTGTCTTCCTTCCTTTGCCCTGGTCAGCTCTCCTGATGTGCATCCAGCCTGTCCTGGACGTCCGTGCAATGGCACCTGGTCCCAACAGTGCTGGAGGCAGTGCAGTGTGATGGGGCACGAATGGGGTGCGAATGTGCGCCTCCACTCACCTGAGCTGGGTGTCCTGGGGGAAAGTTCCTTCACTTCTGTTTCTGCATCCATGAAAGGGGATAACAGTACCTGGCTGGTGGTAGGATTTTGAGGGGAATAGCTGAGATAATGTTTGTAGGCACTTTGCAGAATGCCTGGCTCAGGTATGCACTCAGCAAAACATGTCCCTTCCCTACCTCTGTCCCTCCCTCTGAGGCCCTTGGGATGGTGGGAAATAATGACCTTGTTCCTGCCAAGCGTCCAGAGAGCCCCGGTTGCTGGGCCATTTCTTCAGATGCGGCAGCTTTGGTAGCTCAGCTCCAAAAGCCCCCAATCTGGTGATCCCCCAGCTGGCTTACGAGTGTGGCCCTTGGTCCCCATGTGGGTCTGGGGCAGCCGGGAAGGCCTTCCTGGGTCCTCCCCGTGTCTCCTCCATGTGTTGCTTCTCCGTGACAAAATTCTACTGGTGGTGGGCTAGTGGCTTCCTCCTGGTGACGAGACGGCAGCTGCCCTTTATGTGGGTTGCGTGTGCAGACCCCCCGCAGTCCAGCCTGACCCGCTCTCCAGAGCTCCAGGCACCCAGTGCTGAGGAAGGTCTCTTCCCGCAGATAACCCACTGCCTGCAGCCTTGCTGTCCCCAGCCCCTGGCTAGCTCCTCCTGCTCTGGGGGTCCCTGTGTCTTTCGGTGGGGGGTCATGGTGCATGGAAATGACAGCTGAGACTGGACCCGTAAGTGACCATTTCTCTTGTTTTCCAAGAGGTGCGTTCTGGTGCCTCCCTCAGTTTTGCATCCTGATTGGGACTGCCGTCACAGAAATGCTTCAGGAAAGGGGACCGCCACATCAGCTGAGTGTG